GTGGACTCGATTCAAATCACTTCAGATTCAAAAACTATAAAACAGCCTATAAGCATACTCTCATTTCTTAAGGAGTAAAAGGCAAGAAAGGGAGAAATAAAATGTGCCTTATCGAACCTCTCGATGTTAACATACTCTCATTTCTTAAGGAGCAAAAGGCAATGAAGGGGGAAATGAAATGTGCCTTATCGAACCTCTTGAAATTAGTTTACAACTAATTCAACCATCCCCTCGTCACTATTTCTATTTTCCAAACCGAAAAACCTCAATTCATCAAATAATGCGCACTATATCAATCCCAATTTCCTAATAATTCCCAGAACCATACGAATAGCAAGCTTTAGCTCCACCTTTATCACTCACCAATGGCTTTTTTCAGGCGAAATCTCATATCTCAAAAATATAGTCACAACTTCAATTTCTAACCAATAAGAAGGCACGATGAAGTTTCCGAAAAATGTCATCTTTATCATGTAAGAAATTCCCGAAAAAACATATTTAATGTAAAATGTACATCCATTAGCAAGATGAAGTGTTGAAACTTTCATAGCATAAATTATACAAAGATACAGAGCTCTCCCATCATTCTCCCTATCTTTATTCCTAATCCAAGTTAACAAGTTCAACAAGATAAATTTGCTTTTTTCACCACCAAATTTGTTAGAGATAAAAAAAATAAAAAATCATCAAAATATATGACTAACCAACAAATAAAACCAAGTAAAATCACACACCCATCTTGAAAAGATTGCGCCTTGCAAGAAATCTCGCCAAAGGGGGTGTAAGCGCGAGTGTGATCGGAACCCTAACCGGAAAAAGCGCCTTATTAATCAGCACCGCCAAAGCCAGAGCGCCGCCGTTCGACACCGCCAGCTTCGCCGTCTGGTTTCTCTCCTCCTCCACCGTCCGATCAATCGTAGTTTCCAGATTAACCGTATGCAGATCGGAGCTTTTTGAGCCCTTATCCTTAGAGAAGCTAGGCAGGCCAACCTTTTCGAGCATCGTTTCAACATCGACGTTGCTTTTAACGGCGGCGTAAAGGCCGGCGATCGAGGCCGCCGAGACGGATAAATGTACGCCCAATCCTACTTTGCCGTACTTTTTTAGAAGCCCTTTGAACCTTCCGACGACCATTTTCCCGCATAAATCTGCCGGCGATGAATGTACCAGTGGGGATAGACAATAGAGTGAATGAGAGCTGGGTTTTGCAGCTAGGGTTCTTGAATATTGAGACAGCAATCCCTTTATCTTGTCTTGTGTAAGGGGAGACCGGGTAATGGGCTCATTGTCGACACGAGTTATGGGCTTTTACCTTCATATATTTGGGCCCAAAAATTTTTACTATTTTGAAGGTTTATGGAAAACAGAAGGTTATGAATAAAATATATTTCACCTTTTAAATATTTTAACTGATTTTTAAAAAAAGAATGAAGGTTATGAATAAAATATATTTCACATTTAAATATTTTAACTGATTTTTAAATCATTAAACCCTAAGCCTCAAATTAATAATTAATCAATTTTTCGCGTATAAAACTCATAAAAAATTTAGAAGTTAGAATAATGTTCTCATACCCACGGTGAGCACATGCTAATTATAAGCTAGAAATAAAGAACAATCATGGGAGAGGAACTGCTTTGCCAGATTAAGCTATCATTATATCAATGTTTTGATGCTTAACTTAATATCACTTATTTGTCAAAAATATAAATCTGCTGCCCCATCTTCTGACTTCTTACAGGCAAAAAATAAATTTCATAACTGCCTTAAAAATCATAGACCTCATCTTGAGGTGCTATAAACATTTTCATGAGACCATTAATAGGCCTGTAAACGAGCCAAGCTGCTCGAGCTCGAACCCTTAACGAGCCGAGCCGAGGTGAGCTCGTCTCGTTAATATAACGAGCCAGAAATCGATGTTGAGCTCGGCTCGTTAAGGTCACGAGCTCGAGCAGACTTTAACGAGCCACGTATAGGAAATTATATAAAAAAATCTGTTTTCGAGTCTTATCGAGCCGAGCTAACCAAACGAGCATTAAATGAGCTCGAGTGACTCATTTAATTTAACAGGACTAGAGACCAATCATAAAGGAAAAGCATCATTCAACAGAACAAATAAACCATAAAATACAATCCCCTTTCCCCAAGGTTATGTATTTATCAACACATTATTAATAATAGAAGAGATCTTTCAGGTATAAACATCATACACAAGCGCAAACTCTGTCAATCTAATGCCTAAATAGAGTAACTTATCGATGTAACCACACATCTCGGTCAGACGGTCACAAAAGACATGCATTTTGAGCGATATATAGCTAAGATCCAAGAGCCAAAAACTTGAATTTGATGCTTCAAGAGCCTCATCATAGTGTATTGCCAATAATGACTAATTAACCTTAACCATGAAACTTACAAGGAATTAACACGGTAAATAGATCCAAAAGATTATTTTCCTTCCCTTTGGATGCTTTTTTGTATGCACTTACAATATACTGCAAGCTTTTTGATCCTTTTTCTTCTTTCTCTTCTTTTGCTTCGAAGGCTGCAGAACAACCTTAATTGCTGCATCAAAGACAGCCTTCACATTCTGCGAGAGTTCGAAGAACATCATGATAAGGTACTGAGGAGATATTTAAGTCTGGCAATTTAAAAA